CTTGGGCAGGAATTTAAAGGGTTCTAGACTCTGGTTGCTGTCCCAGTAGCAGCAGCAGCTTCTGGGAGCTCTGGGCCCTCTTGTATTGCCAGGCCATGGAACAGTTGCCTCCTCGGTGGGGCTGATGAGACCCAAAACAGGGTTATCTTGTGTTGGGTGCGATACCTTCTGTGTTAGAAATTTTATCATCTATCATTTTTAGAAAATCTATTGCTCTTTTATGATTGGCTCCATGAGACCTCCAGCATATGTCTCCTAAATTGAAGACTTCCATCACTACACCGTTTTACTTTCTACACATTGCAGATACATGTGGAAAGATTAAGTCATCTTGTTCACTGATTTGACTTAGTGGTCAATAACAGGACTGCAGCTATATACACCCACCTGGGCTTTGTTAGTTTGCACATTGATTGATATGCATTAGAGACACTGCGGCTCTGAGGCCATGTCTACACTAGGAAGCTTTCAAAATTAGTAAAGTCACCGTAAATCCTAATTTAGCAAATTCAAACTAGTGTGTCCACACTATGGGGAAGCGTCGGAATTAGTCTGAGGCAGGCTGTGTTAATGTGGGTGTGCTATCTCGCACTTGGAGCCCCAAGAAGCACTAGGAAGTAATTAGTTCAGTTTACTCTGGGGAGTAATTATTTCAAAAAAATTATGGGCGTGGTAGTGTGGATGCTCTGCTTATAAACTGGACCATTGAGGGGAGGGGTTATTTCAAAATAAAGTCCCAGTATAGAGTTAGTTATCAGTAACTCTAAAATAGGTAACAATGTTAATATAAAGTGCCACTCTCCTTTTTTGTCTTTCCTGAACAGTTACAACCAGTGATTTCAATCATGTGAGTCATTCTACTGAATTTCAGTAATGCCATTTACATCAAATTTCTTCTCATCAGTAAGAATTCCCTGACCGTGCAATATATAAGTATTGAAAAACGTCTTCTCTTCACAGTCTCATTCACATGATTAGCAGAGAGATGCCCTCTCCCTGTGTAAGAAAATTATCTCTAGAAAAATCCTGCTGTTGGACACATTCTTGCTTTGGTTGCACAAATGAAGTGTCTATTTTGTTTACAGAAAAAGGGGGAGGGGGAGCTACTGAAAATCTTGTGTGGGAAAATCTTCGTTTGCTTTTTTTTACCTTGACCAGGCTCCAAAACACTCAGTTTGAAAAATTAGTTGGGTTTCAAGGCCTTGAAAATTATACATCACAGCCTGCAAAGGAATACATAGTTGACCTTTATTGGGACACTGTGGCCTGTCTCTTCCCTCCTCCTGTTCTGGAAGTAGAAACACCATTTCTGCAGTGCATTGAGTTTTATATGCATATTGTGCATAAGTTGGAGCAGAATTGCTCCTAACCTTTTATACATTTTTTTTTTTGAGAAGCAAAGGTTTAACTATTGTGGTGCCGCAGTGGAACTTTATTATTCTGATAGCTTATATCTAACATAAAAGATCTTAAGTTCATGACATACCTCCTCTTTGTGCTTCTTAGTGAACAGAAGTTTTTTTAATACATTTTAATTTCATTCTGTTTCACTTAGTGATAGCAGATTGCTTCTAACTACTTTGTGGAAAATTAATTTATTAAAACTTTGGTTTGTGGGGTTACATCATAATTATATGCAAAATAATGTATCATAACTGTGCTGTCTCCATACTTCTGTACTGTATTTTGGGGATTATAAAGGTTAGTTGTGCTGGCTGGTTTTGGTGATAATTAAACTACCCTAAATCATTCTCTGGTTAAAGATCTCAACACTTTATTCAGTAAAGTAAACATTTTTATTGCATGTATCATTCTAAATAGAAAACAAATCAGTAAATATTGAATCTAATAATTTGGAATTTTATTTTTTAAAATAGCTTATTGTTTTAAATGAAATAATTGTATAAATGGGATAAGCTTATCACACTAGTGTAGACTATATTCTATAAATGTGTTGAAGAATGTCAAGAAACTCATAGCGCAAGAGTTACATCCTATATGGTAGGAATGATTAAACAGAAGTAAAGTTTTTAGACTGTCTTACAGAGTTTTTTCAGTTAACTATTTGTTACCTTAATTTAGCACTGCTTTATAAGTGCACAAATTGGTAGATGAATGGCTGTAGAGAAGTCTGCTAATGTTCCATATAGTTGCATTATCCAGTTTCATTACACAGTACTCATAGAAACTATGTCGACAGAATGGGTGTATGGAGGAAATATGAGATGGCAATGGTACTAGCCTTCTGAAAAAAATGTAAATTATAATTATATTATTAGAACTATAGGTAGTCCCCGGGTTACGTACAAGATAGGGACTGTAGGTTTGTTCTTAAGTTGAATCTGTATGTAAGTCGGAACTGGCGTCCAGATTCAGCCGCTGCTGAAACTGATCAGTTTCAACAGCGGCTGAATCTGGACGCCAGTTCTGACTTACATACAGATTCAACTTAAGAACCCCAGGCTCCGCCGCTTTGCTCTGCTTTGCTCCCCGTCCCCCTGGTCCAGGGGGACAGGGAGCAAAGCAGAGCAAAGCAGCGGAGCACGCGGGCAGCCCTGTCCGCTGCCCTCATGTTCCGCCACTTTGCTTCCTCTCCCTGGTCTGCTGGAGACCAGAGAGAGGGAGGGCCCCGTTCGTAACTGCGGATCCGACGTAAGTCGGATCCATGTAACTCGGGGACTGCCTGTATATTTTTGGATCTCTTTCATAGGCAGTGTTAATATTTTAAATTGCTTTCAGAAGAAAAAACTGCTCCCGAGCTAAACTGAAGAATAGGAAATATTGTTGTTCATCCTGGTAGTTATTATTAAACAAGTCAGCATTGTCAGCACATTGCTACTGCATTTGAGGCTGATGATGCAAAGATTTGGGCAAGTGATAACTTTCCTCTTGTAAGCTTCAAAGGGATAGCCGAGTTAGTCTGTAACTGGCAAAACTTAAAAAACAACAAATTGTCTTGCAGCACTTTAGAGACTAACAAAAAATGTAGATTAGTGGTTCCCAATCTTGGGTCCGTGGGCATCTGGGGATCCGCGAAAAAAAAAAAGATAAATAAAAATGATCATAGAAAATAAGTTGTAAATAAATTGTAAAGTTACAATCAATTATTATTTTAAAATTAAATATCTTCTAATGTTATTAATTGCGGTCTGAAAATCTATGTTGTGGCGCCTTTGTGTGACAAAATGATCACGATAGTTAGAAACATACAAGCGTTAGCCATATGTTCAACATGAGTCTGTGGCTGAAATCAGGCTCGCTGAAGAGAAAGGAGACCGATGAGCGTAGTGAAGCATCCACAAGTGGAATGTCTAATTGAACAGAAACGAAAAGTAAAGGAAAAGTGAGAAAATACTTTGCTGAGTACTAGAACTGTGGCTAGAATTGGCTTTGATGGGGGTACATGAACAGTTTGGAGGAGGGATAGGGGGGTCCACATTAGTGAAAAGGTTGGGAACCACTGATGTAGATGGTATCATGAGCTTTTGTGGGCACGATCCACTTCTTCTCTTCACTGAGATTGTTTATATGAATAAAGTTATTCATGTGCCTTTTTCTTTATAGCACTGGGACCTATCATTTGTTCAGTTACGATTATATTCTATGTACCTTGTACTGTTTATAAAGGTCTTGATCTTACATTCCTTAAGTACCTCAAACTTGAGGGCCAGTCTATGGATACCTGAACACTTAGGTCACAAGAGGTATACTTGATATCATGGTGGTAAAGTGGGGCTGGCAATGGCAGAAAGGATGGAGAAGCTGAGAGTAAGTTCCAGGAATGGGAAGCATGTTGGTGGTGGGAAGATGGATGTCAGGGAGAGTAACATACTGTTGATCCTTCTAGTGATATCTTTATTTTCTAACAAAACAGGCAAGATGTCTGCAAAATTCCCATTATAGTGGAGTGTAGGGTGGGCCAGAAAACATGTTCATTGTGAAAAAATTAAGAGGTTACTTGATCACTGCCTGTAAGTATCTAAATGGGGAGAAGATAGTTAAGTAGCAGAGATCTCTCTGCTAGAAGACAAAGGCATAAGAAGATCCAGTGGCTTGAAGAATTCAAAGCGGAAATAAGATGCAGATTTTAAATAGTCAAGGTAAAATCTCTAGAACAATTTACCAAGATGTCTGATAGGTTCTCTGTTGTTTGAAATCTTTAAACCAAGGCTGAACATCTTTCTAAAAGATATGCTATACTTCAGCTAGCAATTATTGAACCTCATACAGGGATTTCTGAGTCCAGCTCTGTGGTCTGTGCTATGCTAGAGGTCAGACTGTCTGTTCTTCTGGACTTAGATATGCTATACTTCAGCTAGCAATTATTGAACCTCATACAGGGATTTCTGAGTCCAGCTCTGTGGTCTGTGCTATGCTAGAGGTCAGACTGTCGGTTCTTCTGGACTTAGTCATCTATCTGTGACCACTTTCTTGTCAGTTAATGAACCTGACTCTGTTGGCTTTTAAATTTTTTAATGGAAAAGGACCTTGGTATATATAATAAGACCGTCTCCATTTTATCCCTACTGACTCTATGTAAGATTCTTCTGAGTGCACCGCAGTTTATAAGGATGTCATTCACTCGGCTTTTTGGTATTTTATTTATTTATCTGAAATTTGAAATTGTGTACGCAGCACCTCACCTAACTTGACAGGACAGAGGATCTTGAGAATAACATTTTTCTGCCAGAGATGAAAGAATTCTCACAGTAAACTATGTGTTTCCTGGAAGAACACAAGCACTGCCTGCTGGGCAGGGTACATTGCTCAACTGAATTTTTGGATGGAATTTTTAAAAATTACTATGTTTGGACTTGAATTTTCCTTGATGCTTTATAGCATTTAAGTTTTAGTTATGATTTTATTTCAATAACAAAAAGACAACATTGAAACTGAAATACTTCTCTGAATGTTTGTGCAAGAACATTGACGTTTTTACATTTCTTATGCTTTCAGGTAGAAAACACAAATTGATGGATATTTTATTTTTGTTTTTACAGGCTAAAGCCTATCTAAGGATAGCTAATGAAATAGTAAAGAGATTGCCGCCAACTCCAGCATGAAGTGCCCATCTCTAGTACCTGTGATTAGAACTTAACAATGAAGACCTTGATGGTATCAGCAGTAGGGGAACAAGCAGAAATACATAAATTTTAATTATATATTGTATTTGTAAGAAAATTGTTTAAAAGTTAATTTCCTGAGTTTAAAAGTATTTTATTTTATATTTGTCATGACATTATCATTGGGTTACATTCAATGGATTGAAAGATTCAGAAGAAAACTGGGATGGTACCTGAAATTTTTATTTAGTCACCTGCAGCTGATTTTTAATATCTTTGAACAACAAGAACGAAATGCATCATTCAGCAATGCATTTCCCTCCGTTTTAGGATGGAGGATTGGTCTATGGAAACTCCAGTCCTAGTATATAATGTGCCATCTTCATCCAGGAAGAGAGATTCAAAAGTGAACCACAGCGTTTTGAGGATTATAATTGGTGCCACACAACTGCATAAAAAATAAGGGCCTCTGCAATTCGTGCTACTTCATGTATGTTTTTATTCAGGCCTCTTGTCAAATTACAAACATGACCTTAAACTGGGCAAACCATCAAAGATTTCATTAGCAAACTGAAAACTACGCAACTGCCCTATATTTGTGTGCATTTACAACTCAGCATAAAAAACAATATGATATGTATACATATACAGTAATGATTTTTCCTAGTGGATCAAAAGCAAGTTTCTTCCCTATTGGTTTGTATCAGGTTAAGAGATAATTTCCTGCTTATGGAATAATGAACTAAGCAAATTTACTTGCCTGCTTTGTTATGTTGAACCCAGATAGAAAAGAAGAAAACTAGGTAAAAACAAGGTCTTCTTGTAAACCACAGATCATATTTGAATTCAGTTTGCCAAAGGAAATAAATGACAAAAATAAATTAATGTCATGACTGCTTATAGGAATGTGTTCCCAAATCAAAGTAACTATAAAGAATCTGAATATGTAAATTAAAGATATTTTATTGTGTTCTGTGATTTTTATTTTTCTGTTGGGGTGTGTGATTTTTATGGATTTAAAAGCACATGATTCTGTGGCACAGGCTTTCATATACAAATAGAAGTTTGCATGTATATTTAAACTACTCAAATATGTATCCTTACAGATGTTTTGCCTTTTACTTCACTGTGGCCCTTAGTTTATGCCATTTTTCCTGGTGCTTTTTCTCCTCTTGAAATGATCTGACATAAAATGGAATTTGACATTCTTAGAGCCTTAAAAGATGGACACTTACAATGTAAGCTAAAGAATTTTTCATGCGTTATTCATTGAATCTCAGACTTTAGTAAATGTAAATTTACTAAATTAGTGGACTTTAGTAAATTGTAACTTAGATTTTCTTTATGTATTTGAAAAAAGTGCAGAGAAGTAAAATCACAGTTGATCTGTTTCAGTAGCTATGTCAATTCTAGCTTTTGGATGTACCTTTGATTCAAACACAAACCCAATCATTTGCAATTGTCTAGTAATATAGTTCATAAAAATTAAACCTTTAAAATGTGCTTCCTCTTGTTACTTCATTGATAACTGTTAGCCTTGTTGGTTTGGTAAGAAGTTTGATCTCTGCATAGGCATTTCTGTCACACCCACCATAGTAGTATTATTTTATCTACATATGTTTATGTTTATAATAATTTTTATGGCTGTCATCCCCATAGTACAGTGGGACATTAACTCTCAGAAGCTTGATTTTCTAAAACTGTTTTAAACTTTAAAAAAATTCTATATCAGGTTTGCCAAATTTAGTATTCAAAATTAGCATTCTCAAGTTTGTGAGTTACTACTGCCATTTCTAGTTGAGGACTAGGATTGGATAGGGAATCAGAATTAAGTTAAAAAGCTAGTTTTTCTTTCCTGACTCTTGACATACCGGGTAGGTCTGAGGGATCAAGTTAGTTTTTATAATGTGTGGGGTTTTTTTTTTTTAAAGAAAATACTCGGTTTTACTCTTGCTGCTGTTAAGCCATCTTTAATTCTGTTCTGTTAACTACATTTTACCCCAGTGTACTGGGAAAACTCATAAACATAGTATCTAACAGAATATGCAAAATTATTTTAATTAAATGCCTTCATGGAAGGATTGCCCTGTGCATATTTGTAAATTCTGTTTAATGTTGACTGTAGTGGGTGAAACTAGATTTTTTTTTTTAATAAAGAGTGGCATCAACGGTTTAAAAAACTGATAATGCACAAAGTGACTTGTGAAGCATACTTGCAAAGCATAAGGGAAACCATATGCAAAACTAAACTGAAATCAAAACAAATTTGCATTACATGCCTCATTGTCACTAATGGATAAAAGAATCTTCTTCCTATTTCTGTCTCTACAAATGAATCCAAGTATATGTTGAGCCACAACTATAGTTTTTATACTATGTAGATACTTGCACATATTTCTTTGACTTTACATATTGATGATTAGTCTGGAACGCTGCTGAAATTACTGTACATTGAACCATGGTAATTCACATGAGATTAGGGATTAATTACTAAAGTTTGAGTATTAGTGAAAGGCTACATCGGAAAGGCAGTATTTTGACCATAAAACAATATACAGTAAAACTCCAAGAGTCCAGCATCCACTTGTACGGCACTCCCGATAGTCCGGCATCAAAATGGCAAGAGCCTCGTGAGTGAGCTTCTGGAAAATACGAGTCACAAGGCAGCAGCGGCAGCAGCTGAACCAAGCGAAACCGGATGTGACCAAGTCAGTCTGCCACTGGCATTATGTGACGCTTGACAGTGCTTGTGCTACAATAAAAAGGACTAAAACCACTTTATATACAGTATATAATGTGTATGTATGTATTTTTGTGTGTGTGTGTGTGTATGTGTGTGTGTGTATATATATATATAAAAAAAATCTTATAGTACCTCCTGATAGTCCGATAATCCGGCACCACCTAGGTCCCAAAGGTTCCAGATTATTGGAAGTCTACTGTATATGGTAAATTAAGGACATACCATAAAATACATTTTGTTCGTTATCCTCTCCACAGTAGTTTGCTTTCAACTATAATATTTGATGTTTTATAAGCGCTGGAACAGGTTTCTAGGGTGGTTGTAAAATCCTAGTGTCACGGTCTTACCTGCCACATTCCTGATGCTTTGGTGTGCCCTGCCCTCTGAAGCTGTGCTTTCAGAAGAGAGGGGTGTGAATTCAGACCTTGAGAGGTTGCAGTATTAGGGTTGCCAAATACTTTCATAAAAAATACCGAACATGGTGGGGAAAAAAAGGAAGGGGGAACCAAACTTGTTGAGCAAAAATAAATAAATAAAATGGGGGCCAAAGTTGTTGAGCCAAAGAAAAATCCCCACAAACCCTGTGCTAAACCAAACGGTTCACTGCTCCTTTAAGTCCCTGCTCTCCACCTGCTCCCGCCAGATGCAGCATCCAAGAAAAACAGAAAATATCAGACATTTTACATGTCCAGTATTTTCTGGATTTTTTACCGAACAGAGGCCACAAATACCGTACTGTCCGGGCCAATTCTGGAAACTTAGCAACAGGTTAGCCAATCTGGGATGCCTGTTTCCGCAACCTGGAAATAGTAAGACTTGATCCTCTAATAGCTAGGGTGGCAGAGAGTAGGCAGAAGCCTATCAGGGCCTAGCAGGCTGGCTGGCTGCTTCTGTTGGGGGGTCAGTTAAGTGTGAATCCAGAACAGTGGAAGGTGGGTCTTCTTTGTCTTAGCCCTGAAAGCCTGGTCTGTCTGAGCCTTATTCTGAATTTAACTTTATGTTCAAGTTAGTAAAAGACTTTTAATTACTTTGTGAAACATAAGGCCCAGGTGTGCCATATTGTGTTGAAGTTAATTAGCTGGTGGAATATGGGAGTTTGTTTTGCAAGATGCTCCACTTGCTCAGGTGAGCCATGATACCTCATCAGTGCTGCTTCTTCAGAACAGGTTAGACAAACACCTGTCTGGAATGGTCAAAGTCTACTTAATCCTGCCTCAGCATGTGGGGATGATGTATCTCTTGAGGTCTTTTCCAGCCCTAAATTTTTGAGATTCTGTAATGTATTAGGACATATTTTGTAAAAGTAATGGAGTTAGCAGTAGGACATCTCACTAAAGTACTATATAGTTAAAACTTTGATTTAAAAAAAACCTTAACCTATTTCAGATATTTTGTTTCCTATATGCAACCAAGTTCATGGTCCATCCATTTAAGTTAATGACTCAGCTCCCATTGATTTCAGTGGGTCAGGATCGAGAACCAAGTTTACCATCCTTCTCACTAAGTAGGGCAATAATCCCACTGAAGCCTGTCAGTAATTCACAGTAAGGATCTTAGTGATTTTAGGCACTTAGGTGGAATATGGGGGATCAGTGAATTAGTGCCAGAATTAATTAATTTTTAATGAACATTTAAAAAAATGATAGTACATAAAAGTCGGGGCCCCATTTTATTAGATCAGCGGTTTTCATAATTTTTGTTTGCAGAGTCCCCCAAAATTTCCAAAGAATGTACAGATCTCTTTGAAAGTCTTGAATATAGTCTGCAGGCCCCTGTGGGCCTGTGGACTACAGATGTAAAACCACTGTACTATAGTGTTTAACTTTTTGTGGGCCCCTTGAATACAAGTTTGTTGACCCCTAGGCTCTACAGACCACCAGTTGAAAATCATTGTGCTACGTATTGTACGAAGTATGGCAAAGAAACAGTGTCTCCTGCAAAGAACTAGAAGTATTAGACTAGCTTTATTTTCTGGATTCTGTTTTACATCCTAAAATATTTTTGTACTGAAAGAGCTTTACTCTTCCATTATTTTTACATATACAGTGGGGGTTCTCTGCTTTCTTTTAGGCAGATAGAAGGCATATGCAGCATCTCTTTCCTTATATATCTATTACTCTGTTTATGAGTATTAAACTATGCATTCATAAATAAATGGTCTGTTTTGGAATACATGAGCTTTCTAATAAGCTTTGGGGAGGCGGAGTGAACATCTGTTGCTTTTTTATGATCATTTAGAGGGCTTGTAGACCCTTCTGAAATATTTTCACTCATACCACTGGGATTTTCTAAAACTTGTGTTATTTCCTGTGGTCCAAAGATTGTTTCATTTTTCCTGTAATGAGGAGGCAGGGGGATTCCCCAACCCTGTGAATGTTTTCTGTGACTACACAGTGTTTAAGAATAAAAACCTAAGGTAGCTTTTTTTCTAAAACATTTTATGAAGATTTTCTTTGATATGTGGGTGATATACTTTTTTATTCTTCCCCCACAAGGGGAAATGTTTTTGTTTTTTCCAGTCTAATTTTGGAGAAAATGTGATGGTGTAATCTAAAAACAACTTCGGGAGGAATAAATGGCTGGCAAAACTTTTAAGATCTCTTATTCCTGAAAAAATGAGGTTTACAGAGTTCTTTCGAAAAAGGGTTTTTTTCTTAAAGAACCACGTCTAGGCTGCTTTTTTGGGGGGGAAAAAAACAAAAAAGCCTCAACCTTTTTTGAAAAAAGCAATCGGATGCAATTATGCAAATGAAGTGTGAGATTTGTAAATTGTGCTTCATTTGCATTTTCGATTTCCTTCACTTACATTCCTCCTTCAAACGAGGAATGTTGTCTAGATGCAGTGTGCTATGACTGATAGATAGGTGTGATGCTTGTAATAGAATGCAACATATTTTTATTGTAGCTCCTATTAAAAAACTGAATTAAAACAGGCGAGGCTTAAATAACCTAAATATTTCATTATTCCACAAAGTTATGCATTTTTGTGTGAGTTGATTGGGTAAAGGGAAAACACGTTAGGATGAGTTTACTTGTGGAATCAGGCTGTTCCTATGTTTCTTTCTAGAGGGGAAAAAACAATGTAAGCAGGCTTTTGTCTGTTACCTTGAGGCAACCAATTAATTACATTTTAGAATGGATTGAAGCAGTCAGAGTTAGGCTTTATAGTAACCACTTCCTGTGGGTGGATAATATGAGCCAATGGATACTTTGGAGAGTAATTTTTTGAAACAAGTGTTAAAAGGCTCAGAAAATGTGCCTCATAAGCAGCTAAACTTTGAAAACTTAGTATAATAAACCCACTTGTTTGTCAATGTAAGCACTGCTGAAATCTCTTGTAATTCCTTAATATCTTTTGCCTTTAGAAATTCTGTGAGTATGTGGTGTTTGCACATTTTATAAATGCACCTTTTATAAATGCAGTTGTAATTAGAACAGATGTTGCCACTTCAGTTCTGACTTGTTTTATCTACAGCAGTGGTGTGCAATCTTTTTCCCGGCATGACCCCCAGTAAAATTTTGGTGGAGCAAAAACAAAAAAACAAAAATAAAAGCATGGCCCCTGTTAAATGCTGCTCTGCTCGCCTGCTGCTCCTCCTACCCCCACCACGTGTACGCTGAGCCGGGGGAAAAAATGGCAGCTGGCCCGGCGCTGTGACTCCTCCTGGAAAACGGCCACAACTCTCAGATTGCACACCACTGATCTACAGTGTGAATAAATCCCTTTATTCTCTGACTGTGATTAACTAAACTATAAAGT